GAGAGAGAGAGAGAGAGAGAGAGAGAGAGAGAGACTGTGTATGTGTGTGTATGAGAGAGACTGTTTGTGTGTGAGAGAGAGACCGAGCGAGAGCGTGTGCGTGAGAGTGTGTGTCTGTTTGTGTATGTGTGAGAGTGAGCGAGATAGAGAGAGAGACTGTGTGTGTGTGTGTGTGTGTGTGTGTGTGTGTGTGTGTGTGTGTGTGTGAGAGAGAGAGAGAGAGAGAGAGAGAGAGAGAGAGAGAGAGAGAGAGAGTGTGTGTGTGTGTGTGTGTGTGTGTGTGTGTGTGTGTGTGTGTGTGTGTGTGTGTGTGTGAGAGAGAGAGAGAGAGAGAGAGAGAGAGTGTGTGTGTCCGTCTGTGCATGTGTTAAAGAGTAAGATGGATAGACCAACAGAGACAATTTACGAAAGGGTTCTCGATAAGGGAAATTAGGCATCATGAAGTACACAGGTGCGACCTCAAAGAAAGCACAGAGCTCAGAAGGAGAATTGTTGGCAAGTTGCTATCATGTACTTCTGAGCAGGTCACTTGACAGTGTTGCTTCATAATTGCTCAATAAAGATCATGTTTTTACAATATATTGGCCTTATTTCATCAATATAAACGATGAAACAGCGTTCATAGTCTTTTTCCATGTGTATGCCCTGACAGCCTTGGCAGGCTATCGAACAAAGAGAGAACTTTTCTGTGAGACCTTTATGCGCAACAAAATAAAACCTGACACGGATGGAAACATTTGGAGGGAGCTGAATTGTGTGAGGCGACTGGTTTTGTAGTTATTATGGGAACCATTTATTCTCTGCATCAGCAATTTCATGTCATGGATTAGTCCAACAATACTGATTGCCTATTGCTACAAATTCGAATGGTTTGAGTGGCACTTTTCTTTAAATCTTATAATTTTGTTCATCAGTCATGGTTCAGGGTTTCAGGTTTAAGTCCCACTCCAGGATTACAGCACTGAAGGAGCGCTGCACTGTCAAAACTGCAATCTTTCAGATGAGTTGTTAACAGAAGATCTTTCACTCCTTACAGGTTAACATTAAAAAGCCAATGGCATTATTTCCAAGAAGTGCAGGGGATTATCCTGGCCAAAACTTATCCCCCAAACGACATCTCACAAACAGATTATTCAGTGATCACTTTGCTGTTTATCAGAGTTGCCTGTGTGCAAATTGACTGCTGTATTTTTTTGTTACACAAAAGAGATGGGTAGCGATTTCAGACATCATAAAAAGTCATACAGTCGTTGGGTTGTACAGCACAGAAACAGACCCTTCTTTCCAACTCTTCCACGCCGACCAGATATCCTAAATTGATCCAGTCTCATTTGCCAGCATTTGGCCTATATCCCTCTAAACCTTTCAAATTCATCATCCAGGTGCCTTTTAAATGTTGTTGTTGTATTTGCCTCCACAACCTCCTCTGGCAGTTCATTCCATACACACTCCACCCTCTGCATGAAAAAGTTACCCCTTATGTCCCTTTTAAGTCTTATCCCTGTCACCTTAAACCTGTGCCCTCTAGTTTTTGGACTCGCCAACCCTGGCTGTTCACCTTATCTGTGACCCTCTTGATTTATAAATTTCGAAAAGGTTCCTCAGCCTCTGACATTCCAGGGAAAATAGCCCCAGCCTATTCAACCTCTCCCTATAGCTCAAACCCTCCAGCCCCAGCAACATCCTGGTAAATCGTTTCTGCAGCCTTTCAAGTTTACAATATCTCTCCTTTAGCAGGGAGACCAGAATTGAATGCAGTATTCCAAATGTCCTGTACAGCCGCAGAAGTTAATTACAACACATAAAAGGGCCACTCAGCCTGACTTATATATGCCGTAAGCCTCACCCCACTCTATTTTCTTTCTTTCACTTCATTGGTATCCTTCAATTCCTTTCTCCCTTAAATCCAGTTACAAACCTGATCATCTGTAAATGTTTAAGAGTAAATGATTTTTTCTCTTTTCTCAGATTCCAAATATAAGAGGGGGCGGTTAGTAAGAATACCTCCAGTCACAACATGCGACCACATTGCCAACACATTGTGTTCATACAAATCCACAATTTCACTGAAAATACCAGAGGAAACGATGATGTACTTCCAATGCCACTGCCCAAAGCAACTGGGAGAGTTCTTAATCAAGAGTTCTTATATTTCACAGCTGATTAAATTAATCTGTACCTACTGGAAAAAATAATCAGCTTCTGAACTAAAATTATAAAACAAATCCATTTTTAATTCCAAATGTCATATTTAAGATATGAGCATTCGTACCTACAACAGTAAATGTACACCCATGCATACTCTCTATGTTATCTCATTAGTAGCTCATCCTGTATTCAAACAATGAAGTACCAGTATTTGATATTACCTAAGAGCATCATCACTGAAGGACTGTTGCATACATGGTTTCCTTGTATAGTTGTCTTTTCTCCCTCTCAAGTCTCAGCTTGCTCAATGTCTGAAACTCCAGGTGAGACCATAAGACATAGGAGTAGAAATTAGGCTATTCGGCCCATCGAGTCTGCCCCGCCATTCAATCATGGCTGATAAGTTTCTCAATCCCATTCTGCCGTCTTCTCCCTGCAACCTTTGATCCCCTTAACAATCAAGAACCTATTTATCTTTGTCTTAATTCCACTCACTGTAGAGGCCTGGCCTCTACAGCCTTCTGTTGCAATGAATTCCATGGATTTACCACTCTCTGGCTGAAGAAGTTTCTTCTCATCTCTGTTCTAAAAAGGGTCTTCCCTTTACTCCTACTGACTCAACCTACAAGTTAACCTTAACAGAATCTTGGACTACGACTCCCAAGTCTCTTTGCACTTCAGACTGCTGAATTTGCTCCCCATTTAGAAAATAATCTATGCCTCTATCCTTCCTACCAAAGTGCATGACCTCACACTTTCCCATGTTGTATTCCATCTGCCACTTTTTTCTCTGTCCAAATCCTTCTGCAGCCTCCCCACCTACTCAATACTACCTGTCCCTCCACCTATCTTTGTATCATCTGCAAACCTAGCTAGAAAGCCCTCATAGTTAATTCATCTAGATCAATAATGTATAAAGTGAAAAGTTGTGGTCCCAATACTGACCCTCGCGGAATACTCTGCCAAAAGACCCTTTTAACCCCACTCTCTGCTTTCTGCCAGACAGCCAATCTTCTATCCATGCCAGTACCTTGCCTCTAACACCATGGGCCCTCATCTTACTCAGCAGCATTTTTGACCAGAAACCTGCAGGTCAAATTGCAGGAACTATTCAATTCCCCTTAACCAACACCATAACCACAGGTACAGGAGCCTGGTAAGTAACTGGGTTTTTCCAATCTGCTTAATAGCGAAGCAGACTTGACCTCAAACTTGTAGATTGCTCACTGGGGAAGGCATGGTCTTCAACAGGCCCATATAGCTGTGTGAGCTTCTAAGTGCACTTATACTTCTCTCCTTTTCCCTGGGCTGTAGGATACACTGACAGAGTTTTACATGCTCATACTAAACTGGATTGACCCTGCATCTCATGTGGGCTACTGTACAGCCCTTGGCTAGCATTTCTCTCCAGCAGTACCTTTCAGATCAGGATTAAAACAGGGAGTAATCAAATCCATTGCTCTGACATAGTATTACAGTCCAGTCTTACTTTGCATAACTCAGGTGAACTGAAGGTTAACATAGATGACTGTGTGACATTCTCCACTGGGAAAAATCGGCCAGTTCAATCTCTTAATTCTTATCTGCCTTTGTTTAATCTGTTTTGTCATTGCATCAATTTCCCAGTCTTAATTCAATGTCCTGCACTATCTTCAAATGGTTATCGGAAAGCTGCAGGACCTCTATTTCATAATGACAATGCCTTTTCCAATTAGAACATCACAGTTCATTATAGCTATCACAGGCTTGCCAAATGCTGCATTTTAATTTGGATTTGATTAAAGGCTCAATAGATGCAATCAAATACTGGAACTTCAAAAACTCCATGCAGCACACGCACGTCCCAAGCCAGTGGAAAACCTTACAGCAACGATGCGTTGCTCCCTCGGATCAATGACGCGCACTTTCTTGTCCTTGCAGGTGGTGCAGATGAGGCTGCCATTGCGGTTCCAGCAGACGTTGTAAATCAGGTCACTGTGTAGCTCATCGAGAGTTATCAAGGGCTCCCCTGTCCCCACATTCCAAATAATTATCATATTATCACTGCCTGCAACAGACACAACCAGATAGTTTAAGAAGTCAGTACTCAGTATCAGCTTGTGAAAGGCCAGACCTTTAAAGGAATAAATTGCTTGAGCGTTAGTTTCATCTACTGTATCCTCTCAGTTCCTAAACAAACTGACACCCTACAGGATAGGAACTTTTAAGGTACTGCAACACCACTTGCATTCTGATCCCTTTTATTCCAAAAGCACGTCAGAGTCCAGTTATTGGTTACAAACAACAGTCAGGGCCTATAGATTTAGTGTGGAGCAGCAGCAAAATGTCAAGAGAAATAGATACAGTTAAAGGGAGCAGCACCCATTGAGATAATGGATGGGAACAGAACTCACAATGTAAGAGTCAATACACAACGACAGTAAAGTTGATAATAGAATTTGATGGAGCTGGAATAAACGTGGGAGTGCATGAAGGTGGTCAGTGAACTGGCAGTGTATTTCAAATATGAATTCAGCAAGTGAAAACAAAAGACTAAAATACCTTTCATTCTGCAAGAGTCATATCGGACTCAAAACGTTAATTTTGTTTTTCCCACCACAGGTGCTGCCGGACCTGCTGAGTTTTTCTAGTATTTTCTCTTTTCATTTCACATTTCCAGCATCTGCAATATTTTGCTTTTATTAGACTGGAATGAATGAGTGCGCGGTATAAGGGTGTCAGATGAATTCTTCCCCTTCTTACAAAGATCAGTCTCAATTCACACAGCAGCTGACTGAGTTATCAGTAACTGTATATTTGACTTTCACAGCAATCAGGACCAGGTTGGTGTGTATGGTGCCATGGTCACTGATTATGATTTGACACGCCAACTCAAGGTAAAGGAGGAAAGGTGGCACATGCTAGCATGGAAGAGGAAAAATCAACTGTAATTTTCCTTAGAATCATATTTCAGCTGATTTCTTATAAGCTGTGGACAAGGAACACTTTCAAATGCTAGGGTGTAAATACACACTGTATTGTAACTTTGCTTGTTAATTCAATCCTCAACCAACTGGTGAACTACTTTTCTTGATATTGATATGGTTTATATCCAGAATCCAGCATTATATGCATCTGTTTTCTATCTGTTATCTCATTCCTAGACTTGCTTTTTAATTGCCCTAGGTATTTAATTAAACAACACCCTTCATCTGTTTGTGTTAACAATAAAGTTAACATACTATTTAATACTGAAACAAGTATAGTTCTGTCATTTACAAGGTTTATCCTTCTAAACCTTTCCTAGCCATGTACCTGTCCAAATGTCTTTTAAATGTTTTAATTGTACTCGCCGCTACCAATTCTCTAGCAGCTCATTCCATATATGCATCACCCTCTGTATGAAAAAGTTGTCCCGCATGTAGGAATATAAAAAGACATGAATAGGCAGCTCATCCCTTCAGCTTATTCTGCTATTCAATGAGATCATCGTTGATATTTGACCCAACTCCAAATTTCTGCTCTTTCCCCATATCCCTCAATATTTCTGGCTGACAAAATCCAGCATCAACTGCAATTTGCAGAAGAGTTTTAAACTTCTAGATTCATTCATCACTTAAGTGATTACTAATATCAATTCTGAAAGGTCTAACAGCAATTCTTAGCTTGATAGATTGTTCAGTTTATCACCAAAACTAGACTAAACATGTCTTTGAATCTGTAAAAGGGATTCTGTTGTAAATGTAGGATTTGAGTGTCCATCAAAGTTGTGGGTACTTTTATTTATTTTCTCAATGCATATTTTCTCTTGGATTTGAAACCAGCCTAAAGTATCCCAGCAGCTGTCAGGGCAGCAAAATAAAACATGCAGCTCCTTGTCTCATTCTGTTAGGATGCCAGCTGCTGTATGCAACAGGTGGCCTTCACAAACAGCAGCGGTCTCAAAGGAACACGACCATTAAAGGTGTTTTAAAAACGACACTGTGTCCAACTTAAATCAGGGCTGAGTCAGAATACATCTGCCACTTATTCCTGACTACTGGCATCGGCAAAGCATTTCCTTCCTCTTGAATCTCTTTCTTATCATGGTTCAACCCACAATCACACATCTGACAGAGCTTAAGCGAAGCCCAAGGGAATGTTTACTGTAACGGTTCATACTTCATTTCCCTTCTACTTTTCTGCTGACCATTTCTTGCACTTGAAGGAGAGAAACTCTTCAGTGGCAGTAAACTCATTGTCCTAAATCCTACCAAATCTCTCCCCAGGTGGTATTTCTGTGTAGGGGAACTGAGGAAGCAGATGCTGACACATTATTCCAGCACAGAAAACATCTCAGCCACAAATCTGATCCCAATCTCGCCAACATCCACACGTGAACACATGCCTTTGCAATTTGGTCCTATGACTTGCAGAAATGTATGATGCAACTATCACATGCTGCTTTGCCCCGAGCAACAAGCAAAACAAACTAGTTTCCAGATTTTTATATACGTTGAGCTAAAAGCACAGATAAAAATAGTGTAGCCTGGTTTCATTAATTTGGATCATAAACAGAAACTGCTGGAGAAACTCAGCAGGTGTAGAAGCATCTGTGGAGAGAAAGCAGAGTTAATGTTTCAAGTTCAGTGACCCTTCTTCAGAACTGGAAAGGGTGGTATTTATGCAGATGACAAAGTGGGGGAAACTAAGGGCAAGCGGATAGGGGAGACGGAGCCCAGGGAGAGAGAGAGAGAAAGTTAGGCAGACAAAGGGATAGTTAATTGGGGTATAGGTTGAGCAAATCATTGCAAGTCTTGGAAGTTGCTCACCATTTTGTTGCCACCTGTCTCTCTCGGTCATGGCCCTGACAGGTCTTACCATTCAACAACATGGTGTTAGTGAGCTGCTGGCAGTATTTCCACTGCCTTTTGTGGAATAGAACAGTGAGAAAACTAGGGGACTGTGGAATGGAGGGAGTGAGTCAGAGAAGACAAAGTTACAAGGCCTGTTGCACACAGCCACAACTTGTTGTAACGGTTGGCGGGGATAGGGACAGGGAGTTAGTTTCATGTACAGATAATGGAGCAAAGGCACCTTCTTACATTTTTTAAAGCTTTGTCCACTACCTTAACAATAATGAACCTAAATAAAAACTGAAAAAACTGCAGATGCTGTAAGTCAGGAACGAAAACATAATTGCTGGCAAAGCTCAGCAGGTCTGGCAGCATCTGTGAAGGAAAAAACAGAGTTAACGTTTCGGGTCCAGTGACCCTTCTTCAGGTCCCGAAACGTTAACTCTGTTTTTTCATTCGCAGATGCTGCCAGACCTGCTGAGCTTTTCCAGCAATTTTGTTTTTGTTCGTGAATAATGAACCTAAGTTGAGCAATTATGCCCAGTTTTATATATAAAAAATCATGGGGAAGCTTGCTGAAAATCATTTTGCCAATGTTAGCTCAGTTTTAATAAGCATGGTCATGTCACTGTTGGAGAAACATTTAAAGTTCAAAGGAAAGGGAAAGTTTCCCATCAACTTTCTCACTTCTACTCATCCCCAGAACCAACCCTGAGAACTTGAGAGGGAAAACTGCGCCCTGCTTTAAAGAGGAGCATTTTTATTCTTGTAGTTAAAATTGGCAAAGTGGACTGTGGTATAATCACACAAGAAATATATATCCTTAAAAATTATTGAAACAGATGTCAATCTAACAGTTGTCTACACAATGTACTGAACTCAAAGGTGACCTAAGGGATGTTGTGTAGTTATGATAATGAACCCGCTCGAATATGTAATGATACACCTCTGCAGTAGGTGGGACTTGAACTGGGTCCTGCTGAATGGCAGAATCAGACCAGTCAGTTGAATGGCCTAATCCATAACAGCAGGAGATCGGCGACCTCTGTGACGTTATGGTCAATATATTGCCGCTGAAGAGAATAGCTTCCCCTAACAGGTAGGCTGACTGTCGAGCTAAGAATAATTATTTATTTACTTCTTCTTGCATATGCAAAATGAGATGAAAATTCATTAGCCAACTCAGAAGGATTTGATACTGAGAAGGCTTTAATAAACGTGAGTAAGCTCGCAGGTCTGTACATGAGCATTATATGTGCATGTGGCTGCATTCTTCTCATTCCCTTCATTCAGAAACCATTTATGTAGTACAGTTACAAAAGCACAGATTACCAGTCACTTGTCTCTTGAAATATATTTCTCACAGCTGTCATGGAACATCTAGAGGCATGTGAGGTTCACCCTTTAAGTTTTTTAAAAAATAATTATATAGTTTACATTAAAATCTGCAATTTAATCACACTTTAGGGAATGGGGTAAAGATTTAATTTTTTTTCAAAATTAAAAAAAATCTTGTGAATGATGCAGAGTTATAACTTTAATATTTGTCAGTTTAATGAATTTGCACAGTTTTCCATTCAGTTTTCAATAATTTCAAAATATAAAGTCACCAACACATTCTCAATTCCAATACGGCTTTCAAGAAACACACTTTCCAAAGGCTTGAAAAATATTTTGTACATTATAAAGTGGAAGTATAGAAACTTAAATGAATGACAAACATTTCTCTACTCATTACTGTTAGAATAAAACTGTGGACCTTACGTTTATGTTAATATCAGTCTCTTCATGGAAAATAAGTAACAAATTTTGGCAGGTTTTTAGTTTTTATTTCTTTCAATGACATTAAAGACAAACAATTATATTGTATTCATATCCTACAAATTTTATTGATGGTCAATTTACAAAGCAGTCATTGCTTTTAAGTGAGAATGATTCTCACTAGCCTCCTCCACCCACACCCTGTTCCCAAATCAAGATTGACAATCCAGTTTGAAAATTATTTTTAAGTCATTGTTAACTGTCAGTAACGAGAGTTAGTACAGCCCAGCATTAAAGCATTCCCATCTGAGCAATGAAAGGCCATGGGTTTGACTTCACCAGGATTTGAACATATAATTCAGACTGACAATGCAATGCTATGCAGAAGCACAGAAAGGCAATTAGCCATATTCCACAAAGAAGCTTGGGCATCTCTCTCATTGTAGAGAGATGGTTGTGGAGTGGTACACTGTAACCAAAGTGCGAGTCAACAAGGCAGGGCCTCTATGTACTTCCAGCAGCAATACAGGGAGTGAACCCTCTCTATTAACATCATTCTGTGCCATACTCTAGCTGACTAAGCTGGCTCACTCTTGCACAAAGAGACTGCTCTATTGTTAAATGTACCATGCTTCAAATCAGATGTTAAAAAATGACCAGATGTGCCTGTTCAGGAGTACAGAAAAGAGCCCACAGCACTTTTATGGATAAAATAAGAAGTTGTCCTCGTTGAAGATCCTTCCTCAAAACTCACTTCTTTCACCGCATTTATAATCCCCTAATATTTCCTGCTTTGGCTTGGGCATTGATTTCATTGACTTCATTACACTTCTGTCACACATCTTGTGATGATCATTCTGTGTTAAAGGCACTATGTGATAAATTAAACATGATGGGCTCCCTAGAAGTGAGATGACTGAGGGATAGCTGATTAGAAGCGTTAAAATTGTAAAAAGGTTTCATAACGTACAGGCAGTGAAGAGGAAGCTAGAAATGGAAACCAGGAATAGAAGATACTGGTTACAATGTGAAGCTCACATCCAGAGAGAGTAATTGGGACAACTCGTATGGGTGCAATTAAACTGAATCTGGAAAACACAAGAGGGAGAGAGGTGCAAAAGAAAAATTTGACGGGGGCTAGTTGAATAGGATGGGAGGAGGTTTGGAGGAGTATGAACAATCACAGGGATCTGTTGGGCTGATGGGCTGGTTCCTTTGCTGTGGCTATTGTTTAATATACGAATGCAAGTGGTTGCTGTTGTTGCCATTATGTGTTGTCACGGTGACAGGCTCATTTCACAGCAATGCCAGAAACAAGCAAAATGATGAGAGTCCAACTACGCTATCTTCTTGCAAATTCCACAATTCTATGGGGACTCCATTTTTTTGCTGCATTGTGAAATTTGACCACAGCTTTCAGCATGTTTGTCACCGAAAGTTCTCATTTCTCATTTGTAATACAAAGCCATTTTGAGGAGGTGATCTAATAAGCATCCACGTTGCTTCCTCAAGGAGATCACTGTGCTTCATTTATTAAATTTGTCTAGCAAGTTAATTCATAAGTAAGAGGAGATAATAATTGTTGACCACTGAAAGTAATTGTTAATTTGATTGCATGATACCGTGATCTCTCAGTACCTTGTGACAGAGGTCGGCACCACAGGGAATACGGTGTTTTATTTCCTCCTCCAGATTTAGACCCTTCCTGCTCTCCCTACCACCCACTTCTTCTTTGATAGTTTGTATTACCCGTAATGGGCTTTGCTCGTAATTGGCTACATGGGTATTTTACTGGTGGTGAACTGTAGGTAAAAACAAAACAATGTTGTGGCTCAACTTACTTGAAGCAATTATAGAAAAATCTGCTGTGTTACTTTTCCTCAGGTAATCATCCATGACGAAGCAAAATGCAATGCAGTTGAGTTATGTCTACATTTGCTAACCTGGCATGTTGCAAACTTTTATAACGACAGGCAGAGATACTCCATGTTGGCAACTGAATTGCGTGTGTGTAGGTGTTTTGAATAAGGAGCATTTCACAGCTGCACCTGAGACTCACATAATGTATAACAGACCCAGTAGGACAGTTTTAGTGCAGTCTGAACCAGGAACAAGCAGGAATTTAACATGGCAGAATTCCAATGTCTTCAGGTTTTAAAATATGATTGTTCAAACATAGCAGAAGTCATATCGATATATCACATTGCTTAATGAATACATCGGCACCCAATGCAAGTCTTTCTAAATCAGTGCTAACCACCAAAAGGTGAACAGCTAGTACGTGCCTAATATTTGTATGTGAATGCAAGCAATTGCATCTCAGCATGTCCTATATCTCGATGCACATCAGAATCAGCTGCTGATGCAGGACAGTTCAAAACAGAGGTTTTATAATATTTTCAAAGGAAAGGAAAACAGTTCCTGGCAAAATGCAGAGAAATAGAAATCCTTATAAATGACAGTATCCCTGAATTAATCAGGCCTGCTAAATTCAAAGCAAGTCTTCTTAGAGCACATTTGAATTGACAACTCTTCTGTTCTCTGAAATGACACTTGCCTCCTATAATGATGCACCTACTTAACTGAACTGCTGCAATGAGTCATTTTGCTTGTTTCTGTCCTTAATTAACCATCGAACACTCATTAAACTTTACAACCAACTTGCAAATAATGTTTCTATGGTGCAATTGGGGTGTGAGGGATTGATAAATATGAAAGGAAATAGAAATTTCATTTAAGATGGTCACTAAGGAAGATTAAAGGTAAACCAAAAGAAAAAGTCCAGGGGAACCTCAATATGGAGATTCAAAAACAACACTCATGATACTAATAAAGTCCATACTGGCATTTTAAAAGAATGATTAGAAACAGGAGAAATATTGAAAAAGTTGATAAACCCATCAACTGTCTTTAAAAAGAGCACAAGGGACGGACATACACACACACACACACACACACACACACACACACACACACACACAAATACAGGCCAGTGAGCTGAATATGTGAATGTTTTATAATAATTAAATTGGCAACACACCTCGAACAAGCAGGTTATCTGCCCATTCCAATGCACCCACTCTGTTAAAAACCAGAAGTGGAAGTCTGGGTTAGGTTGGGAATCAGATAGTATTCGAACAAAATCTGAGCCAAACCTGCCTGATGCTTTTGTCGTGGGTTAAAATTGCCCACAATGACTCAGTGTGCTTTGGTACGGGCCCCTGGGATGTCAGCTTTCCTGTCATTGTGCGACCGACTGATAGCAGGCACACAATAGCAGCTCTGAAGGACTGTCATTGCAAATAGGCTTCTTCTGTCTGAAAAACCACTTCCCACCCTCCTGGAGTTCAGGGTAAATCTGATGGTTAATACTGTCTATGAAGCAGCATTTACTTGGAAAAGCTCTTTGTGCATATAATGTGACCTATATATATAGCAACCTTCATTTCCTCCTATATGGGATGAGAACAGGCATTATGTAAAACGTATCCGCTAGGCAGGGGAGTAACAAAACTATCTGTCTTGGATAATTTCAAATGCTGTAAACTTCCCACATTCTTTCAGGTGTCATATAAAAATGGATCAACACAACTTTAAGGTAACAATCACCTGTATTGTCCGCTGGGGATTTCAGCGTATCATAGCTTGAACAAAACAGTCCACAGTGATGATATTACCTGCACTTAGTAAAATATTCCGGGCAGTTGGATGCCATGTGATAATCCCGACCCTCTTCGAATGGCCCTCCAAGACAACAATGGGGTCCGTTATAGACCGGAGTGCTACATGATCTGGGATCTGCCAAACCTGTGTGGAGGTGAATGCAAAACAAGACTGGTTAGAAATAGTTCACTGACTTTTTCTGAGGAACTGGGTAACTTGTTGAACTTGACTCAATCTCGGTGCTCAGTCTACGACTAAGCAGATAATCAAACAACTTTTGAGTTTAGTACTTACTTTCGGCCATCAAACAACAAACCAGCAACTTATCACACCTTAAGTAATGCAAAATGTACACAAAATTATTGTTTCTTCCAGTTGTATTCAGAATGCACTTTGCAAATTGTAACATTTTGCAATACATTTTGTGATTTTATTTGTATTCTTTCGGGGGATGGTGTCTTTGCTAACTGACCATCTCTAGTTGTCCTTGAGAAGGTGGTGATGAGTTGCCCACTTGTATCCACTGCAGTCCATTTGGTATAAGTATACCCAGTGCGATTAGGGAGGGAGTTTCAGAAATTTGGCCTCCGCAACATCGAAGTAACAGACCTTGGTGAAATGCAGCTGAAGCATTCAACAATCATGTACACTAAGTGACAACAGTTATTTCTGTGGGGTCACCAATCAGTTTAATATAGGTGATGATCTGGCCAAAACTAGCTCATTTATCTTGTAAACAACATGGACAACTCAACAACAACGTCCTTCTCCCTGCATCTAGTCTTAGGTTGTATTTAAAGTACAAGTATGAGTGAAGTCAGTACAGTCCTACCAGGCCATAGGACTGCTCTCATTGGTGAGAGACAACTGGTGGTGATTTAACCTGCGAGTCACCACGTTTTAGATGAGCAGAGAGATTGAGAAGGAGAGTACTTCATGGTAAATTCAGCTGGTGTGGGTATTAAACCCACACTGTTGGCATCAACCTTCTTTACTAACTGACTGTCCAGCCAACTGAATGAAGAGGTTTTGACCTGTACTACTCCTACAAATTTGTGATGTAAATCCATAGTTGGGGCCTGATTTGACAAACAAACTGAAAAGGCTTCCTTCACTAGAATCAAGTTGGGGCAAAACTCAGGATTTATACTAAATCTTCCAAGTTGATGTTAAGGGAAACTGCTTCACACCAATACTACAATTGTAAAGTCAGGCAAATGACAAGGATTTTGCCTCCAAAACTTACTCTGAAGTTCATTCTATATTGATAATTCATAATGTGGTGGATGTCCCAAAACCACTCCTAAATTTCTCCTTTTCCCAACTGTCTTCCTGTGATCAATTATCTGCTGCCATAAAACTTATAGAAAGAGCGTTCACAATTTGACTACCCAAGCCCATAATGATGGACAATCCAGGTACAATTTACTTGACCTTTGATTCATCTGAGCAAATTAAACTCCTGAATGAAAGGTGTGTTAAAATATTATCAGATCACCAAAATATTCAATCAAAATTCTACAAGATTGATCTATCTTTCATCTCTACCCATCAGCTTCAAGCAAACTGCCAATAGGTAATACTGCCTCCTGACCTCAATTGTACAGAAACAAGCATCTTCTACAGTCTCTGATATTCAGAGTAACCATCTAAAACCTAGCTGGAATATTTTAATCCCATTCCAGGCCAAATCTCAGGCAACTCCTTTTCTGAAGTGTTATGTGAGACAGCACTAACATTTCTCTTTATAGTCTGCTCTACATGCACCAAAGTCTGTAGAATAACAGTTTTCACAGAAATCTAATTTCAATTTCTTTTGTTCTTCTCTGGGATGTGGGAGTCACTAGAAAGGCCAGCATTCATTGCCCACCCTTAATTGCCCTTACCCTGGCAATTATGAAGCGACCACTTTTCTGTGGGT